AGAGAGGAATGATAGATCCTTCCTGCAAATGTATGTCGCTCCCCGTCTTCGTGGAGGAACGACACAGGACCCTGCGCTGTTCTTTCGTCTGCTCGGCCCTCCCCGGGTTTGCTGCTGGTTCTTCCCGGGTTGGCTACTATCCCTTCCACCTCCGTGGAAGGGCAGTTCCCCCTGGCCGCATTCCCCACTTCCGCAGGGGAGCGGCACACCGCCGGCCGGCTCTCTCGGGGGCTGCACGGATTCCCTTAGATGTTCCCCATAGATGTTCCTGGTGCATGCCGTCTCTCTCCTCCTTTATAGTCCTCCTCCGCCAATCCCAACTCGGCTGCCCACACGCCGAGTACGCTGCTCTCCTCCAATCAGGAGCAAGTCCTACAGTTTATTGGTTGAACTGGAGGCAGCTGGGTAGAAGCTGTTTTCTCCTCTCCCAGCGCCATATTGTAGGAGAGCAGATGCATAGAATAAGTCTTAATTCCAGTAACCCAGTCTAGTCCGAGCTGCTCCCCACAGAGGAGAGCAGATGCATAGAATAAGTCTTAATTCCAGTAACTTAGTCTAGTCCGGATTGCTCCCCACAGATCCCCCTTTCTTTTTATTTTTTAGCGTTGATACGCGCCTGTCTTCGGTGTCCCGCGGCACACACTCTGCTCTACTTGCTAGAGTTGCCACAGGCTCTTACAAGTCCTATCAATCAGGAAAACCGAATCCGGGTCCTCTCTTCGCCATTGTGAGGAGGTTTTTAGGCGCTGATGCATGCCTGTGTTCGGTGCCCTGCAGCGCATGCTCTGCTCTGCCCGCAGGGGCTTACAAAACCTATCAGGCAAACCGAATCCAAGCCTTCTCATTGCCTTATTGTGGGGGAGACTTATTAGTGTTGGTTCGTGCCTATCTTCGGTGACCTGCAGCTCATACTCTGGTCGAGCTTTGCTGGCGCTTACCGCCTTAAATCAGGCAGACCGAATCCAAGCCTCCTAATTGTTGCATTGTGGGGAAGCTTTACTGATGTTAATTCGTGCCTGTCTTCGGTGACCTGCGGCTAGCCGCCCAGGTGCTCATCGCCTCACTAATCGGGCAGACCGAATCCAAGCCTTCTAATTGGCATGTTGAGGGGAGGCCTTATTTTTCTCTATTTCTCTATCTCCGGGCATTCCTACCTCTCCCATTTCACTTCTATCTTCCAGCATTCCCATTTCTCTTTTACTTCACTTCCAAACTTCTGTTTCTCTTATCCCTGCGGCTTTCCGGCACCCCGCCCCGCCGGCGGGTTCCCGGCTCTGCGCCGCTTCAGCCCGCGCGCCTCTCTCATCTGCGCAGCTTCCCGGCTTTGCGCGGCTCGGCTTCGCGCGCTCCGCGGTCTCCATGCTTAACCCTTTCGCGTCTGAACCACGGCCTACGCCAGCGTTCCCTATCTATTCACACCCCGTGCTCTCTCTGCACGCGGCGGCTTCCGCGAGTAACACAGCGTGTAGCTTACGTGTCCGCCACTAGCATTCAATCTAAGTTCCCCGGGCTAGCCTGGCGAATTCAACCCAGCGTACGTCTCCGCCCCACGATCTGGCTTCCCGTCCTTTGCTCCCCGGGCTAATCAGACGGATCCCAATCTGGCTTACGTCTCAGCTTCTGGTTTCAACTTTTCGCCCCCTATTCCCGGGCTAACTTGAGAATCCCAAAGTGGCTTTCGTATCCGCCTCGGCCTGCCCCCCGCGGCTTCAATTTCCCTAACATTTTTCTCTACCCGGTATGTTTCCCCAAGCTTTCCTCCAACAATACTCCTCCCTCATTTCTCCTGGCCTCTCCCCACAGTCCGCGTCCGAGTCTGTTTGTTCTAGCTTTCACTTTCGCTTTCGACCTTAGAGATTTCTCCCAGCTTCCCCCCGTAGTCCGTATCTGAGTCTATGCCTAGGCTTTCAATAGCTTCTTCCGGCACCCTTTTCGTCCGGCTTTTCCCTAGGCTGTTTGCTAGTCTCTCTCTCCGGTATTTTCCCAATTCTTCCCATTTCTTCCCGTTTCTTCCCTCCTAAGTTTCATATCCGTCCTAAGTTTCCTATCCGAGTCACGTTTCTTCCCTCCTAAGTTTCATATCCGTCCTAGGTTTCCTATCCGAGTCAGGTTTCCTATCCGAGTCACGGCACCATTATGTCGCTCCCCCTCTTTGTGGGGGAACGACACTAAACCCTGCCTAGGCTTCATATCCGAGTCACGGCACCATTATGTCGCTCCCCGTCTTCGTGGAGGAACGACACAGGACCCTGCGCTGTTCTTTCGTCTGCTCGGCCCTCCCCGGGTTTGCTGCTGGTTCTTCCCGGGTTGGCTACTATCCCTTCCACCTCCGTGGAAGGGCAGTTCCCCCTGGCCGCATTCCCCACTTCCGCAGGGGAGCGGCACACCGCCGGCCGGCTCTCTCGGGGGCTGCACGGATTCCCTTAGATGTTCCCCATAGATGTTCCTGGTGCATGCCGTCTCTCTCCTCCTTTATAGTCCTCCTCCGCCAATCCCAACTCGGCTGCCCACACGCCGAGTACGCTGCTCTCCTCCAATCAGGAGCAAGTCCTACAGTTTATTGGTTGAACTGGAGGCAGCTGGGTAGAAGCTGTTTTCTCCTCTCCCAGCGCCATATTGTAGGAGAGCAGATGCATAGAATAAGTCTTAATTCCAGTAACCCAGTCTAGTCCGAGCTGCTCCCCACAGAGGAGAGCAGATGCATAGAATAAGTCTTAATTCCAGTAACCCAGTCTAGTCCGAGCTGCTCCCCACAGAGGAGAGCAGATGCATAGAATAAGTCTTAATTCCAGTAACTTAGTCTAGTCCGGATTGCTCCCCACAATGTACACAGCAGAGTTCACTATAAAGATGAGTTTGAAGCTAGAACTTTGAAATCCTGACTCCTGAATTACTATCATGTACTTGAGCAAATTAATGAGGGAAAGAAGCTATCCCATGGAGCTGTCTTTGTTGCCCAAAAAAATGACAATTACAAGTATCCTGGTATCTAGGAATCTGTCAGTATCCAGAATGTGGGTTGGAGGACGTACATGGCTGTCAGGTCTTACAAGCAAGTGGTCACGAAATCTTCCGCTGAAAGACCACGATTGACAGCTGTCATTCATGGCATTCTGGGAGCTACTACCCACATCTAGCACCTGAATCCTAGGTGGCGATTCCTAAGCCATCAGTAATCGTCTCCTCACAGTGTTTTCGGCGTGTGTCCTTTGGGTCCTCTGGCTGCTGGCTCTTGCCTCTGCAAACTTCAGTGTATATGTGTGGTCAGTCGTTTAAATCCACTGGTGGAAGAGAAAAATGAAAAGCAGACTAATTCTGTTGGGAATGTTCTACAAGGCAGTCTCCATGGGGGAATAGGTGGAGTCAGTTAAAAAAGATGGAACCCGTAGAGTCTGTGTGCAAGAACTTTCTTCTTTTTGATATGACATTATGAAACAACCAGATTTTCTTATTTTTAAGATAGTACAGGGTACCCATGAAGTTGCCAAATTACTATCTTATTTTTCCATTTGCTTAGTGGCTCTGTCTTCTTTTCTCTACTACTTAGACAAAGGTCAGAGACCAGGTAGCTCTCAAGTGAAGTCTGACTTGGATATTTCAACTTTATCCTGTCTTTATCATTCAGGGTGTTGGTGTCTTCTGCCCTGACGTGTAAGGCCAGTACTCACCTTCTTACCCGCAGTGTTTCTTGGCCTTACATCCCAGATTTAAGCAATTAGGTCTACAACTGCTATTTTTGGCCTGATCTAGCTTTCCACGAGGTCTTTGAGGGGGGAGGGAAGTCACCCAGCTAGGTGATGAGCCCTTGCAACTAAACAGCTGACAGTGCTCAGGAGAGGTGCCATGACGGGCCTCAAGCCCCCCTGCAGGTTATTGCCGGGCTTGTCATGACCGCTCTTTCCACAGGCCTTCCCCCCACCACCCTTGGAGCACTTGCCATTTTTATTCAGATTTTAAAGAAATAATAAGCTAAGGCTTACAGTTATTTAATGATCTGCCTAATAAGATATAGGACAAGTGCTCAAAGTTAAATATCTTAAAACATCACGTGTTACAATAGTTATACATACCTGTGGGGTATCAATACATTTTTAAAATACGCAGGCCATTTCTCAGAGTTGTGTTTGCACTGAGCAACTTTGAGGAATGAAGCCATGTCTTCTAGAACAGGGAGCAGGCTTAGTGCTTGTGGTCACACGGCAGGTTCTTTAAGCTCCATGCTGCTTTCCTGTTAACAACCACTGCTTGTGCAGGTGCCCATCTGTGCCCTTTGCAGCACACCTGTGGGACTTGGGGGCAAGAGCGAACCAACAGGTTTTCACTGCTTGCTGTGCTGTAACCAAGTCCTTTGTCCCTAACCCAGTATCTCCTGTCTTTTGCAAGTATCCACGCAACAGTCAGCTTGCAAGAAGGCAGAAATCAAATTCTAGACCCTCATAAGTTACACTGTGATATGCTCAAACCACCTGTTTTACTGTTATAGACACCCATGAAGTTGCCAGATTACTAACATCTTATTTTCTACTTTGTCTTCAAAATTGCCAAGATATGAGACAACCTGCTAGGATTATGGCTTGTTTTTTTAAAATTTAACTGGAACACGGCCACATACAATCATTTCTGTATCTTCTGTGAATCAACACTGGGGACCCACATGGCATTCAAGCCTACATGAACTGTTCCTTTAATGAATCTGTTGACCCCTGTAATGTAACCACATGACTGGATTTCTGTGAGGGCAAAGTACCTTCAAAAGTGAGTTCACTCTGTCCTTTGGAAGTCAGCCAAGACTTTATTTTTGCTCTAAAGCTGCAATGGCATACTGGTTTATCAGGACTTTCTACACGTTGCTTTACAGGATTATTCATCAGCAAGGACTATGCATTATGAGCTATCCAAATAGAGCTGTCTCATGTCCATTACCAGGTGAGTCTTTTAGCTCAAGGTGGGGAAAAGCACCATGTGAGAATTACTAGTTGTGAACGGAAACAAAGGACACATTCCCACTGGAACAGAAATCAATTTTAATTCATTGAAAAGTGCAGCAGTGAACAGGGTCCTTGGAAGGGCACTTTCTAAATGAGATGACACAAAGCCGGAACAGATGATGCCAACACAGGAACTAACAAATTGGTGGAATGAGGTGGCGTGGACAAACAGAAGAACCTGGAAATACTCAGCTACTTCCACTGGTGGGTCAGTCTGAAATAATCTTTGCTTTCTCTTATTAAGGATCAGCTTTTTCATTAAGAAAGCACTAATCTTTATTTTAGATACTTAAAAAAAATCAATGCAAGAACATTTTTCACAGATTAAGCGATAACTTCCATGAGTATCATTAGTATTTTGTACAAAAAAACCCCTATGGTTGTTAGAATGTATTGGCAGCAGCACCACTTGTGAAATTCAAAGATGCTCTAAAGATTGTTCCCCCTTTGTGGCTTTATGTGAAAGGAAGCTTCATAATAAGAAATCCTATAAGGCAAAAAAATCTCCATTTCATTGCTAAGGCCTCCATTCATTCCTAATGGTTTTATCTGTTCTCTATTAGGAAGGGCACCGACAGATATGGACTTGACCAGTACAACTGAGAACAAGGCAGGCCTCCTGTAGTGGGTCCCTTGTACATAAACATTCTGGAAATAGTGCACTTTTTAGTTGGTTGGGCTATAAATGGAGGTCTCTATTCAAAGATTAGGTAAGAAATGTACCAAAAACAGAAATGGTACAGAAGAGGCCTTACCATATCCCCACCACCCAAAATGTTGGCTGAATGAAGAGCCACGTGGCAGAGATCCTACTAGCAACTACTTTGGGTAACTCTTAGGGCTTTACCTGCTTTCCCGAACCAACAACATAAAACTGAATAATATGACATCACAGCCCAAGACCTGGTAAGAGTTGCTTTCTTTTTATTTGGGAATAACTGTGGTCAACTTTCATTACTGTGGAAGTTGACTGATAATATTATCAGTCAAATAGAGAATAAAGGTGATACCCATACTCAACATTGTAGTTTGTTACAAGATTTCTACCATTTCTCTAAAACAGTCACAGCAGAGGTGTTCATTTCACTCCCTATTTCGTCTCGATACTTGAGGTAACGGGATAAACTCCACAGCTATTAACCCACCTGGAATTCTCATAGCAGTCACTCATGGCCATGTCTTACAAAGTGCTTAAAGCTTGACAGAAAATCTTAAAGCTAGAAGGACTTCCTGCCTGAGTTGAACAGCTTGTAAGACTGTATCTCTACCTACCCTCTGCCACCCCACCATCACAATTACCCTTCTTGTGCAACAAACAGTAGAACTGGAATTGGCCTTCATGCCAATAAAAATGTAGATATTCTGAAGAATGGGGAAGCCTAAACAGATGCTACTGACGGGGGAGTAGTCAGCAAGGCCCTATTAAGTAAGATTTCCATAACACTCAGGGCAACTATCTGCATGGGGCACAGGAAGAAGTTTTTCCATCTTAAAACGAACAGTGACAGCAAAATCCAGCCAAAATGACTGTATGCATGGAATTGACACTCAGGTTCCCTGCGCGACAGGGGTACAACCCTAAAACTTGTAACCCAAGGCTAGCCATAGAATGCCCTCGGAAAACACAGCCTTCCATCAACCCTTGGCCATTTTTCTTCCCTGATAGGTGCACCTAAGCCACTGTTATTTTTCACATCAGAGAGGAAAGCCCCAAGAGAAGCTCTTTCCCTCCAATACTGCTCGTGCTAACTGGCACTCCGTGTGGTTGGCAGCCGCGGGCAAGTAGTGACTGTCACCTCAAGAGCTTCCTGGGATTAGCTTCTACTACAAGCTGATGGCTCCATTTCAGTCCAGAACGGAAACAAACTCCCCAAAAACAGAGCCTGGTGGACTTACTGAGTCTGTGACATTATCACATCATGAAGGAGTTGATACACAGTATCTCTGCTTGTTCCAGCAGTGGTAGCATGTTCTTCATCAGATGATCCTGCTCTGGTGGTTAAGCCATGTGATGTTAGGAATTTTCATAGTGAGGTGCTCACTCTCAAATGGTATGCAAGTCCTTTGACTTTGGGTCAAGCCTAAGTAACAACAAATTTCCTTTTTCCCCCTAAAGTATTGCCATTTATCTGAATGGACTTGTGAATTCAGCTTGGACCACATGGGGAATACTAAGAACTGTGGCCCCAGGACAGAAAGGATTGTGGTGAGAACAAAGACGTCAGGAGTGTTTGTTATCAGCGAAAGGAAGAGGCTGGGATAGCCACTCTTGATGGCAGAGTTCACAGTTTCACACATGGCACAAGGAAGTCAGCTGATTAGATTGCTTTTTCAAACAGGACTTGAAACAAGGCAGTCCAGAAACTCTTCCAGGCGTGGTCTTGAAGACAAGTTACAGACACCTACTACAATCACTTCATCAGAAAGAAGCGTGCAGGGATCCAACTGCAGAGGCTGGGCACGACTGCTACAGCAGATGTTTTGAAAACCTTCGAGTTCTGATGCTGCCATGGTGGCTGAACATGAGACGAGGGTCAAACCTGTATCTGGGGGAAGGAAAAAAAGGTGGCTGTCACATTAACTCTAGGTTGCTGCTGCATGCTTCATTCAGTGGAAACGATGGCAGGAGGGATAGAAAAGAAACTGTGAAACCATAAGGAAAGAATTGAGTGGGAAAGTATGCATACAAAACATGAGTAATTCATCAAATCATGGAGGATAAGTCCAGAGGAGAGCAGCAGCAGTTGGTCATCTAGAATAGTAGAAAGCTTTGAGATTTCAGATGTGTGTTTGGGAGGGGCTGGGAACAGTCCCTTAAGTATAAAGCAGCCAGGTGGCAGAGTCTAGCCCTTGCTGAATACGGGCAGTTACAGAGCCCTCCCCTCTACTGTAGATAAGAACACACGTGCACCGCAGATATGGGCTTGATTCTGCTCATCATGAACTTAGACAAGCCATTAACCAACCTCTCTGGATACCAATAAAGTAGTAAGACTTTGTTTCATACATTTTACATAAATAAACTAATTTTACCACTCAAGGGGGAAGTTGGATTAAATACTAAATGGTCACATGAGTTGGGACTTCGCTGATGTAAGGAATGCAGGTTGACCAGAAAGATTTTAGATATGCAGGGCATAAACACTTCTCTTAGTCTCTCCCATAGGATAGGCAATAACTCTTAGCAGTATTTTAGAGTAGCAGTTGGCCAACTGCTAGTAGTTCAGGGTTTGGGGGCCATCCAGTTTCTGTTCCAACCATTCATCTTTGCTGAAGTACAAAAATAACACAGCGAATGTGTGCATTTATGTTCTAACAGATGGTGGTGGAACTGGGCCCATGGGATCTAGTCTGCTGACCCCATTTTAGAAGGTTCTTTAGATCCAAATGTTTTCAAGGAAAAAATTATGTCAATATCCACAAAACCAGCATCTAGAACCCCAGATTTCAAGCTTCTAGAATGTGAGCAAGATAATTAAACAAATTGGGAAATAGGAGACCAAGCTATTTTAGTTCTTTGGAGAATGGCCCTTGGATAGATCGTAACACCAAGCTCAGTTTTCTGGGAATTCTACAATTAAGTGCCACATGTGCAGAAGAACTAGGGCAGATGCCAACGTGGCAGGGCCATTTTCTAGCAGTGAGTGGTGAAGGGCTGTTTGGCCACACAGCATAAAGAGGTCCAAGTCCCCCAACTCAGTACTTGAATGTGGTTAAAAAGTGTAATGCTATAGATGTCTGACTTTATTGGTTTCATACATCCACTGGTTCACTCCCATATGTCCACAACAGCTAAACCAGGAGCCCAGAACTGAATCTGAGTCATGCCACATGGGTGGCAGGGACCCAAGTATGTGAGTTACCACATGCTGCCTCTCAGGGTGCAAACTAGCAGGCAACTGGAATTGGAGGTGGAGCTGGGACTCATATGGATGTGGAGTCCCAATAACTGCCAAAAGCCAGCCTTGTATAGTTTAAATGATATGTCTTTAATATTGTTATAATTTTAGTTTAACTGGTTATCTATTTGATTTACTATTTTTTTTAAATATAGTCTGTTTTCTCTATTCATTTACCTACATCTCTAATTTGGACTGAAGATGATTTAACTTGCAGATGGCTAATTACAACTTTCTACAATTTTAAGACATCATTCTTCTCCCTCTTTTACAGAGTGTCAGAACTGAAATCCTTTCGAATGAAAGTTTGATTTTTAACTTTATAACCTTCAAGCAGAAGAGAAGTGACATGCTTCTTGCCATAGGTGGCTCAAATGCATGGTATAGTGACAGCTAACGTTGCTAGTGAAAGCTACAGTTGAAGCATCCAGCTTCAGAGTACCTAGGATTCCTCTCTACCTCTGCTAATGCAGGGGCCATGGTTCACGTAACTGGATTCCCACTACCCATGTGGGAGACCTGGATTGAGTTCCTGCCTCCCAGCTGTGGCTACTGGGAGCATTTCAGCCAGTACAAGCATTTGGAGAATGGCTCAGTGCATGGGAATACTCCCTCCTTCTCTAATTAAATGAAGAGGTACAGGATGGGAAGGAACAAGTCTGACTCAGCAGGAAGTAATTCTCATTTATACTTGGTTAACATTTCAACATTTGCATTTATACCTAGTACCAAATTGATAGGTTTCTGTAATTGGAGTTTCTGAGCAGTGAAATGAAGTTTGTTCTTGGAAGCTCTAGGGCACGGGGCAGTCCTGTATCAGCACTTATTTAAAGAAGTGGCACCATGTCAATCACAGCACGGGAAGAGGAAGAGCCCTGCTTACTAGGGGAAGGGCTGTGCCTCTGGCTAAGGTACTCCCTGGCAGTGGAAGTCTTAAAGAGCCGCTTTCCCCACTCCACAGGTTAATTCACCAAGAATTACAAAGTTAAAGTCATGCATTCCACTTTAAAGCAAAACATGACAAACACAGCTCAGCCCTCAGCATGAACGTCCCTCCCCCTCTGCCTTCAGGAACAGCATGCCCACTAGAGACAACTTGGGTAACTCAAGGAAAAAAAAACTTACCCGGGGTCAAAAACCCCTGGCGTGCGACAGGTTGGCCCAGAACAGGACTGCAGCATCATTAACCGGTAGTTCATCTTCCCCAAAAGCTCGGGGTCTATGCTTTTAGCGATGTTAGTGATCTGGTCTGGGTCCGCGGTCAGGTTATAGACTTCCACAAACACCTAGAGGAAATGAAAGGATGGAGAAAGAACAGAAGACGGGTTACAGCTGAAGAAATACTCCTTATGTGCATGACTTCACACGGGAAGGTGGCAGATAAAAACCCAAGGCCCAGGAGAGTGCCATCTGGTCCCAAGCTCCTCAAAGAGCCCACTGTGCCCTGGAGACAACGCAGCATCTGTTGCGGGGATGCGGCTGCTGCTGGTGCACGGCCGCGTGCTCTGCACCCTGTGCCTCCAGGCAGTCAGGAGGGGCGGGGAGGAAGCCTATTGGCTCTGTCGCTGGAGCACAGAAGGCAGGCCCTGCGAATGGCACTGAGGTGACAGAACAGCTGAAGGCTGACGTTGGCCTTAGAAGTACAGGAAAGCACCTGGTGTTACAGATGGCAGTAGCTGTGGATGTATAACCCTGACTGAGTGTTCCTAACATTAGACAAGCCTAACATGGCAGCATTCCTCTCCCTAATCTTTGTGCAGTTCTCCACAATGGAGTCAAGCAATAGGCTAGGATTACTGTGGGTAAATGTTGCTTATAATGGCTTTAGTAGCTGTGTCAGACTATCGCTTACGAAGTAGTTCTCCAACTGGTGAGTGTTACAGAGAAGAGCGAACAGGAACCGAGTCTGAGGAAAGCTCTTCCCTGCTGGGCAAATCGCCTCTGAGCTGTGGACTCCATGACGAGGGAGTCTGCTTCCGAGAACATAAGCACACATCCACCCCGCATGGTACTGAGGGCTGCCCGATGGGCGGGTGAGCCCGAGCTGACCAATAGTGTGAGGCCACAAGGAACTAGAGTCCCCATGGTGATCCTTCAGCTAACCCACACTGCCATGCTGGCCCAGGACAGCACTCCCATGCCCTTGTCTCTCACTGATCTGAGCAGCACTGGAGTTCTCCAGCGAGTCAGCTGCCAGTGACCTTTCTAGGAAATGCTCCCATGCCGTCCACCTCCAGGGAGGTGAAGTGCTTCACTTTCACTCCACACTACAGGGCAGGGAGGATCCCGGGAAGGTCACACAGCCGGCATGTGTCTCTCAAGACTACAAGTGTGGGTGGGTGGTGGCGGTGGCAGTGGGAATCCCTTCAGAAAGGTCACAGTTAGGGGAAGTGAGGCATGGCCTCAGGAAAGTCTGTCTTAAGGAAAGCTAAGTTCAAGTACAGATGAGAACAGCATTTTCCCTCTAGAACATCCTTGGCATTACTCTCAGACCAACCAAGTCCAACTTCAGAGCACCAGCACTAGACAGATGGGAGAGGTGCAGGCTGAGGCCTTTTTACCTCCTGGTCATCAAACTCGCAGTACTGCAGGTTCCACAGCGCTGACATGGTCCTCACACAGGCATAGGTGTTGTTGTAGGCATCTTCACACACACAGTCTGGGAAACATTGCTGTAGGGGCATTTATGAAGACAAAGATCATTCACCTCAAGGGCAATGAAGTTGGCTTAAGCCAGACGTGGAATGGCAGAAATGAGGAAGCCTTTCACAGAGAAGCGGGTAACTCTGCCTTTCAAATAAATAACTCTTAACAAAAAAGGTATTGCTGTTGGAGAGACAAGACACAGAAGGGAATGGGGATGACAAGTGCAGGTATACTGGCCAAATGGGCCCTCGTTACATAAATGAAGGGTTTGAAACACACAATCTAATGATAGGTCCCCAGCATCACTTTCAGGATTACTGGATTTACTTTTGTCCACCTGTTAACCGCCCACAGTCAAGTGCTAAAGAAGGACTCAGGGCCCGGTGCTGTGGCGTAGTGGGTAAAGCCGCCGCCTGCAGTGCCGGCATCCCATATAGGCGCCAGTTTGAGCCCTGGCTGCTCCACTTCCGATCCAGCTCTCTACTATGGCCTGGGAAAGCAGTAGAGGATGGTCTGAGGCCGGTGCCGCGGCTCAATAGGCTTATCCTCCGCCTGCAGCGCTGGCACACCAGGTTCTAGTCCCGGTCAGGGTGCTGGATTCTGTCCCGGTTGCCCCTCTTCCAGTCCAGCTCTCTGTTGTGGCCCAGGAGTGCAGTGGAGGATAGCCCAAGTGCTTGGGCCCTGCACCCGCATGGGAGACCAGGAGAAGCACCTGGCTCCAGGCTTTGGATCAGTGCGATGCGGCAGACATTGGAGGGTGAACCAATGGTAAAGGAAGACCTTTCTATCTCTCTCACTGTCCACTCTGCCAGTTTAAAAAAAAAAAAAGATGGTCTGAGTCCTTGGGCCCCTGCACCCATGTGGGAGACCCAGAAGAAGCTCCTGGCTCCAGATTAGCGCAGCTCCAGCTGTTGTGGCCATTTGGGGAGTGAACCAGCAAGTGGAAGATCTTTCGCTCTCTACCTCTCCTCTGTAACTCCAACTTTCAAATAAATAAATCTTAAAAAAAAAAAAGACTCAAATACTTAAGAAATCTAATTTAGCACCCTGCCAAGTTGTCCATGACAAAACAGTGGAAGCCAGTTCAAGCTATTACTCACAGACACTCCAGGACTCAGGGAGGGACACGTTGGGTCGGTGACGTTGCGGCCTTCTCCTTGATATTCCACCAGGACATCAGAGCGCCAGGTCAAATTACTGGCCCCTGTCTAGAAAGAAAAGCCCAGGCAGTTTCTGTGAGGCAGACAGACTGTAATAAAGTTTTACTCTACTGCCCGAGGGGACTTGGAGTCAAAACTAATTAGACTGTTCATTTGCTAACTCAAGCGAATGACTAGAATGGATGCATATGAAAGCTACTGAGTATCACGCTTGGTATTTATAGAGTCTACAAGTGACAGTGTAACGCTTTGAACATTTAAAAGTTTCTTCCCAAGACCAACCTGGGAAGCAGGTCAGGGATGGAAACTGCAGTAGCTAAGCAAGAATCAAAGTCACAGCATAAACTGCTCAAAGTCCAGACTGAACAGTGCTGTTTACGTGTTCTAGATAAGAATGTTCTAAGCTCATACCGAGCAATTTATATAACTAACAGACACAAGGACAAGAAACAACTATTATGCAGGGCTGCTTTGTGCTAAAGACTAACAGTTTCCAAGCACCATGTTATGGTCAGAAATACATTATCTCATTTACTCTACACTGCACACTGTGGAAGGACAGCAGCACTTGAAATCCTAAAATTTAATACAGATGCACTAATGGCAAAAGGAGGACGAATCTAGGAGTAACAGCAAGTTTTGGATCAAAAGCATATGAATATAGGATGGAGCAGAAAACGTGGCAGTGTGCCTGTCTGAAACCCAGCATGCAGACAAAGAAGTGGTGCACAGTCAGTGGATAGGCAGCTGGCAACCAGACAGGAAAAGGCCCTGCACATCTGTCCAATACAGAATGGCAGGCAGTGGCAATGAAGTTTCTGAGCAGGGAAGTTCCAAAACCAAGGCTGTACTTCAGGACTGGGCTTTGGGCATAATGGTTAAGACACCTGCATCCCATAGTGAACTGTCTGGGTTCGACTCCTGGCTCCACTCCTGATTCCAGCTTCTTGATAATGCAGACCTTGGAAGGCAGTGAAGAAGGCTCAAGCAACTGGGCCCCTGCACCTAACTACTCAGACCTGGACTGAGTTCCCAGCTTCTGGGTCTAGCCCTGGCTGTTGAGGATATTTCAGGAGTCAACCAGTAGATAGGAGCTATGTCTCAAATAAATACAAAAGCCCAAGAGCAGAATCTAGAGGGGACAGGGAATTGGGAGATAGTTTAGACTTTTTTTTTTTTTTTTTTAAGATTTTATTTGAGAGGTAGAGTTACAGACAGTGAGAGGGAGAGACAGAAAAGTCTTCTGTCCGTCCGCTGGTTCACTCCCCAAATGGCCTCAATAGCCGGAGCTGTGCCGATCCGAAGCCAGGAGCCTGGAGCTTCTTCCGAGTCGCCCACGTGGGTACAGGGGCCCAAGGACTTGGGCCATCTTCCACTGCTTTCCCAGGCCACAGCAGAGAGCTGGATCAGAAGTAGAGCAGCCAGTATTCGAACTGGTGCTCATATGGGATGCTGGTGGAGGATTAACCTGTGCCATGCTGCCGGCCCCCTAGAAATTGCTCTTAAGATGTTCTAAAGCCTCATTCAAAGTCTAGTGGGGCACTTGTTTGAAAAGCACACAATCTGGGCTGGTGCTGTGGCACAGCAAGTTAAGCTGCCACCTACCATGCCGGCATCCCATATGGGTGTCAGTTAAAGTCCCAGATTGTCCATTTCCAATCCAGCTCCCTGCTAATGGGCCTGTAAAAGCAGAAGATGCCCCAAGTCCTTGGGTCCTTGCTATCCACATGGGAGACATGGAAGATCCTGGCTTAGGCCTGGCCCAGCCGTAACTGTTGCAGCCATTTGGGGAGTGAACCAGCAGATGAAGATCTTTTCTTTTTTCAAATAAATAAGTCTTAAAAAAAAAAGTGCACATCTCAGGCCCACAGGAGCCCTAATGAACCCAACACTGTCCAGATCCTCTGATGATCTCCCTGAACAATAAAACGTGAGAAGCTGCTTTAAAGCAAAAGCTCTCAGGTCAGCCTCAGTTGGCAGCTTGTTACAAATGCAAATTCTTAGTTCCCGAAGGAGAAAGGGAGCAGCCTGGGTTTTAGGAAGCTCCGCAGGCACTTCTGGGGAACTCGAGTTTGAGATCCACTGCTGTCAAGGACAGTTAACCTGGGTGAGCATAGTGAAGAATGCGTCGTAGCCTTGAAGGCCAGAGCAGCGGGAAAGGAGACAGCAACTCTCTGTCACTCGCTGTTCTATGACGAGACCACAGTCCTGTGTAGTTCTGGGTCTCAGACATCATGAACCACCAGAGACTGCAGAAGCTGCCCTCTCCTGAAGTGCTCACACTCCGGAGCTGGAAGCTGGAGATCAGGAAAGCTTCTCTGTCAGGCTTGAGGGTCCCAAGTGCTCAGAAGGGAGTGGGCATTTACCTACGGCTGAGAGGCTTGCATCCCGCCATCAGAATGCCCGCGTTTACTCCCTAACTCCATCAGCTGACTCCGCCTTCCTGCCAACATAGACCCTGGAGGCAGTTGGTACACCACCCACTTGAGAGACCTGGATCGAGTTCCTGGCTTTGGCCGGCCCAGCCCCAGCCCAGGCTGTTGCAGGCATTTGGGGAGTCAACCAGATTGGAGCTCTCTGTCTTTGAAATACACAAATTTTGAAAAGTGTCCAAGGAGAAAAGAGCATGTGGGAAGTCTATAGATCAGTGGTTCCTGAACTTTGCTGCATATTAAAATCATTAGGGGAGCTCAAAAACTCCCCAAGGCCAGTTCACATCCCATGGCGATTAAATCTCTCTGGGGGATATAGTACCCGGCCTTTTCCTGTGTGACTCACTGAGGCTCACGGTCTGGAGAGGCCGTTAAACTTTTTTCCAAGAAAGGGCAGACGGTAAGGACTCAGGCTCTATGGCTTTACAGTGTCCATGAGGTCTACCCATCTCTGGCTGTGTGTTCCAAGAGAACCCTGCAGAAACTGGTGGTGGGTGGGATTTGGTGCACAGGTTGTAGTTGTCCAACTGCTAGCTAGTCCACAGAGCTTGTACGGAAACCTTGTGTACGCTGTTCAGTACAACAGCTGCTAAGCACAGGCTGTGTGGCTGGCCCACAGAGGAATGAACACCATTTTCTTTTAGTTCATTTACATAGGCACACAAAGTTACTTAACTGCCCTAATTCATCAGTATTGCATTAGGAAAATTCCCTAAACATAAACAAGGGAAAGAGCAGGTCCCAAGTGGCACTTCCAGACTATGTAGTGTAGTGATTTTCATTCCTATTTGAATTTTTTTCTAATTAAAAAAATATACACAGTAAGATATATAGTGTAAGATGCATACAAAGAAAATTCAGATGCTAAATTGCCCCAGCTGATATATAGATATAACACAGTAATAACAAAAGCCTAACATTTTTCAGGTAATCTGAAAAGCGACTCTAAAGTTTACAGTAAATAGAGGTGTCTGGGATCCTACACAAACAATAAAGGTTAGCAAAGCATGCCCACATGAAGAATTATTAAACAGCTTTATGAGACAAAATGATACAGGTGCAGGGATGATCCAGAAATGATCATCTTTTCTATGATCCAGAAAAGACAATTGGTATTTATAGAGAAAAGTGAAATTGGATTCCTGAATTATAAGAAAATTCTAGATAGATCAAAGACTTAACCTTAAGAGCCAAGTGCTTGGGCCCTGCACCCCATGGGAGACCAGGATAAGTACCTGGCTCCTGCCATCGGATCAGCGCGGTGCGCTGGCCACAGCGCGCTGGCCGCTGCAGCCATTGGAGGGTGAACCAACGGCAAAAGGAAGACCTTTCTCTCTGTCTCTCTCTCACTGTCCACTCTGCCTGTCAAAAAATTAAACAAAAAGGAAAAAAAAAAGAAAACCAGTATGATGAAATAAGCCAGTCGTAGGGGGGCACATACTGTATGATTCCATTTACATAAAATGTCCACAATAGACAGATCTAGAGAGAAATAAAGTAGATTGGTGGCTGCCTGATGCAGGAAGAGGGAGAAATGGAGGAGTGAATGATAATGTGTAAGGGGTTTCTTGGAGTGATGAAAATACTCTAAAGTTAATGAGGGTGACGAACAACTTTGTGAATATCCCAGAAACTACTGAATTGTAGATTTAAATTAGTGAATTGTATGACATCTGAATGAAGCCATTTTATTAAAAAAATTTGACTCATCTCATTACTAGACAAATTAACAGTAAAACCAAATACAACTGTTACCCCTAGGTTGGCAAAAATTAAGTTATTGGATAGATTCATATTAGAGCAATGGGAATTCCCATACATTGCTGGTGGGAATGTCAACTGGTGTGATCACTCTGTAAAGTAACACAGTAATATTTCTACAACGAATGTGCCAAATTCCTATAAGCTGGCTGTGTGCACAGCTACTCACCCGGAGATACTACAAGAATTCTATGGTAGCACTGTTTCACACACAAAAAAAACAAAAAACAAAAAAATAAAAAAAAAGAAAGAAGACTACAACATCCCAAGTGCCTGCTAACTGATAGGAAAACAAATGAATAAGTTGTGATGCATTTATATGACGGAATATTAGGCAGCTGTGAACTACACAGGTCAGTCTTGGAAATAAGCCTCAACTGCACAAAATTCTAGATTACGTTCAGTAGACTATTATTTATAGAGCTCAAGACAAGATAAAAACTAGGTATGTTGTGGCCGACACTGTGGTGCAGGTTAATCCTCCGCCTGCAGCACTGGCATCCCATACGGGCTCTGGTGTGAGTCCCAGCTGCTCCTCTTCCAATCCAGCTCTCTGCTATGGCCTAGGAAAGCAGTGGAAGATGGCCCAAGGGCTTAGGTCTCCGCACCTGTGTGGGAGACCTGGAGGAAGCTCCTGGCTCCTGATCGGCACAGCTTCAGCCATTGTGGCCATTTGGGGAGTGAACCAGCAAATGGAAGACTTTTCTATCTTGCCCTCTCACTGTCTGTAACTTTACCTCTCAAATAAATAAAATCTTAAAAAACAAAAAACAAAAAACAAACAAACAAAAAAACCTAGGAAATGTTGTTAGGGATATCTACTCACACTAACACGAGAATCATGACCATCTGATCCAGGAAAGTGATCACCTGCAGGTGCAGGCACAGGATGAGGTGGGGAGAAGCACACGGGTAGATGCACTAGCAATGTTAATATTTGTAGTTTGCAATGGGAAGGAAGGTTCTTGGGCAGTTCTTGTGTTTCATAACTTACAACATTCACACTGACTCTTCTCAACTTTTCTATGCTTAAATGTATTCACATACATTTTTAATGGGGAAGAGATGCTACTGTGAATTGTACTTCTCCCTATGGTATGTGGCAGACACCTTTCCAAGTTAATGCCCTTGGACAGATATCATTCAGTGTTAGCTTAACATTCTATTGTTTAGCTGTACCATATTTAACCAATGCCCTACTGACCATTTACATTTTCAATTTCCTTCTATTAATATTACCTGTACATTTTTATACATAGCTCTATGTGGTATCAGACAAATAGCAGGTACCCAAATATTTCTTGAGTGAATTTATTTTCTTAACACAATTCTCAGGTGGAATTGCTAGACGTGCACATTCTGAATTGACAAGTCTTGTAAGCAGGCCACTTCATCGGTCACACTGTGCACACTTCTGTGAGCAGTGTATGAGGAGTTTCAATTCCCCACATTCCTGCAATTTCTGGGTATAATCTTTTTAATCTCTGCCAGTTCACAACTGATACAGGCCTACTTTAGTTGGGCATTTCTTTGATCAGCACTGAAATAATCTTTTTATATCTGGCCATTTCTAATTCTTCTGAGTTAATTAGTAACTTTTCTTGACTTTACTGAGATTAATTTTTGTGTTCTAAAAACTCATACCAGGAACTAAACTAATGCCTCTTTTCACAATCATTGTCCCAATTTGTCACCTGTATTTATGGTGGATGTTCTGGGTACAGAGGAGACAGGGGAGGATACAGAATTCTAAAGTTTATATGAGGTCCAATCAGTCTTCAAGAAAACTACTTCCTACCACAAGATCAGAGAAAAAACCTGTTCTCTAATTTTAAGATTTACTTAAGTCTTTAACTTGGAATTTGCTTCAGAGTTTGGGCTCAGGCCTCACGGAGGGCTTTGTACTCACCAAAATGGGCAGTAAGGACATCCCGTCCATCTGGGTCTTATTCAGGCTGTAGCCAGCAATGTCCAAAATAGTAGGACCCAAGTCAATGTTGGCAACAAGCATCTATGAGAATGAGAGGGGAAAAAAACAAAATCAGTCTGGAACACAACTGGTCCCATTTCCTTTCTGATCTATACAAAATAAAGCTCTCCTCCCCTACCAATCCAAAAGACAAATAGCTCTATTTCCTCTTGTACAGCCCATACTTATTTGGGTCTCACTGTTTCATATATTTAAATATGATAACTTAAAAAATAATAAAGACTTATAAATAAATAATTCCCCTCGGAAGTCACACATTTAACCCAAACTGTTAAGAAGCATTTTTTAAAAAGATTTATTTATTTGAAGGACTGAGTGACACAAGGACAGGGAGGACCAGAGAGATCAATATTCCATCTGCTTCCATCTACTCCCCAAATGCTTGCAACAGCCAAAGCTGAGCCAGTCCAAAGCCAGGAGTTAGGAACTCCATCTGGGTTTCCCATGTGGGTGGCACCACCCATGTACTCCAGCCATGATCTGCTGCCTCTCAGAAGCATCAGCAGGAAGCTGGATCAAAGGAGGGTGGGGCTTGACTCCAGGCACCCCGATACCGGCTGTGAGCATCCCAAGCAGCAGCTTTCCTCACTGTGCCATAATGCCTGCCCCTGACCAAGACATTTAAAAAAAAAACTCCTTTGGGCCGGCGCCGCGGCTCACTAGGCTAATCCTCCGCCTAGCGGCGCCGGCACACCAGGTTCTAGTCCCAGTCGGGGCGCCAGATTCTGTCCCGGTTGCCCCTCTTCCAGGCCAGCTCTCTGCTGTGGCCAGGGAGTGCAGTGGAGGATGGCCCAAGTGCTTGGGCCCTGCACCCCATGGGAGACCAGGATAAGCACCAGGCTCCTGCCATCGGATCAGCGCGGTGCACCGGCCACAGCGTGCTGGCCGCAGTGGCCACTGGAGGGTGAACCAACGGCAAAACGAAGACCTTTCTCTGTCTCTCTCTCTCACTGTCCACTCTGTCAAAAAATAAAAATAAAATAAAAATAAACATTCTACAAGGTAGACACTGTTCTACATTTATACCTTGCCTATTTTATTGGAATATTTTCCTTCTGTGTTCAATGCCTTTACAGGGCCTAAATCAGTATAGTCCAACAGAAATATAAAGAAGGCCATGTCAAACTCATGTATCAAAAATATTTCTGTTACAACTGATAAGATCATTGCTTCTTTTTTTTAAATCAAATCTTTGCAATCTGGCATTTTCTAATATAGCACACCTCAGTTTCAACTCCCCACATTCCAGTGCTCAATAGCCTTTGTGGCTGGTGGCTACCACAGTGGACAGCACAGGCGTGGAAGTCATTTGGTCACAGGTCAGCAGGACAATACATCATGCACGCGAGGGCAGGTGAGAATATGTGGGAACTGCAGTTTACTGAGCACCTGGTCTCTGCCAGGCATTTAGCACTTCCCCACATTCGGTCTATCATAATTCTAGGACACGGTTTCCACCTCCTTTTACAGATGAAGAAATCAAACACAAAATGTAAATGAACGAAGTTAACAGCTTTGGAGTGGAAAAGCTATGATCTGCTCAAAGGAAATAAGTCTTCGAAACTGTTGGGAAAACTTAGATCATAGTCAGAAGGGGCCCAACAGAAAGATTAAAACAAAAAAGCACAAAACTACTATTATGGATACTTCTAATTTGAAACTACAACCAAATGTATAGCTATGAGAGGCAAAATAGCATCTTCATAGGGATCAGCTTTCTTAATGGCTGGGATAAATATCCTAGCTCTGAATTAGTGTAACTCCACAGCTGTCAGAAATTACCATCTGGGGCTGGCACTGTGGCTTACGGGGTAAAGCTGCTGCCTGCAGTGCCTGTTCAAGATCTGGCTGCTGCACTTCCCAGCCAGCTCTCTGCTGTGGCCTGGGAAAGCAGTGGAAGATGACCCAAGTCCCTGGGCCCCTGCACCCACATGGGAGACCCGGAAGAAGCTCTTGGCTTCGGATTGGATCAGCATGCCTCCGGCCGTTGTGACCATTTGGGGAGTGAATCAGTGGATAAGATTTCTCTCTCTGCCTCTTCTTCTCTGTAACTCCAGCTTTAAATAAATCTCTAAAAAGAAAATTACCATTCAGTGGAAAACAATTAAGGGGGGAGGGAAGGCAATCCATGTGCTACTGAGAAGACACCCCATAAAATGATGTCTGCAGGGATTACACAGTGAGATAAAGTACCTAGTTCCAAGGGCCCCAGGCAAACTGAGCAGCTTGGAATACAGTCATCAAGGCTCAGTGTGAACCTGGGAGTGATCTTGGTTGGAAAGGGGAAACATAAGGGGACATTATCTCTGGAATGGATTCAGACAGACCCTGAAGTGTGATAAGATCTCAGTGACATGAAGGGAAGTCAATCCCTCAGGGCCTACTGACATGGCCAAGGTAGCTAACAGGGAAAAAAAGGGTCAATACCAAAATAGTGAGATGCAGATGTGAGATGAGGAGTGCCCATTCCACCAAAAACTGCCTCAAGAGCCAACAGATGTACAGAGAGGATTTTTTTTTTTTTTTAAAGATTTGCTTATTTTGGGCCCGGTGCTGTGACGTAGTGGGCTAAGTTTCCACTTGTGGTGCCGGCATCCTATACGGGCACTGGTTTCTGTCCCTGCTGATGGTCTGGGAAAGCAGTGGAAGATGGCCCAAGTACTTGGGCCCCTGCACCTACAATGGAGACCCGAAGAAGCTCCTGGCTCTGGACCAGCTCAGCTCTGGGCATCGCAGCCATTAGGGGAGTGAACAAGTGGATGGAAGCCCTTTCTGTTTTTCCCTTCCTCTGTTAATCTGCCTCTCAAAATCTTTAAAAGAGATTTACTTACTTATTTGAAAAACAATGGGGAGACGGGGAAGATAGGAGAGAGAGGGAGCTCTTTCATTCACTGGTGTACTCCCGATATGGTCCCAATGGGCAGGGCTGGGCCAGGCTGAAGCCAGGAGCCTGGAACTCCATCTGAATGTTCCATGTGGGTGGCAGAGGCCTAAGCAATGGGCCATCTTCCACTCTTTCCCAGGCATATTAGCAAGGAGGGAGCTGGACTGGAAGCAGAGCAGCCAGGACTTGACTGGCCCTCACGTGGGATGCTGGCACTGCAGGAGGCAGCCCAATCCTGTTGTGCCACAACCCTGGGAGAGCTCTTTCTAGTGGCGTTTTGCTCCCTGGAGAGAAAGGTCTCCAAGTTCTAGTATAAATTCAGTCACTGAGATTTGGCCCAAGTTTATCAAACACACATCATGCTCACATCTTCCCTAAATACGATGGATAAATTCTGTTCTACGATCCTGGTTAAGAAGCAGATAGATAAATTCTATTATAAGGTTCCGGTGAAGTAGTATGCTATGTCGGGAGATGCTAGACTTCTTGTGGACACTGAATGTGAGTAAAGAATTCAAGGGAGAATTATTCCTAGCTCCAGTTTTTCGACAACTAAGAATTATAACAGATGTCATGGGTCCACCGTGGTAATGCCTCTTGAAACGTTGTAATTTAAAATTTCTAGAATGATGGAGCTTTTACCACATGATCTTTAAGTATAAACAAAGACTCACAGGGGCTGGTGTTGTTGCATAGTGGGTAAGGCTGCTACCTGCAATGCCAGCATCCCATATGGTCGCAGCTTCACATCTCAGCTGCTCCACTTCTGATGCAATTCCTTGCTAATGTGCCTGGGAAAGCAGTGGAAGTTGTCCAAAGTGCTTGGACCCCTGCTATCCTGGGGGAGACCAGGATGAAGCTCCTGGCTCCCAGCTTCAGCTTGGCTTGGCTTAGCCCTGACCGTTGCAGCCAGCTGGGCAATGAACCAGCAGATCTTTCTGTCTTTTCCTTTCTGTCTCTTCCTTTAACTCTAACTAAATAAATTTGTTTGAAAGGCAGAGTTACACAGAGAGATCTTTCATCCATTGGTTCACTCCCCAAATAGCCACATATGTCAGAGCTGAACCAGTCTGAAGTCAGGAGCCAGGAGCTTCTTCCACGTCTCCCATGTACAAATATAAGGCCAAAGACCTGGGCCACCTTCCACTGCTTTCTCAGGCACATTAGTAGGGCGCTGGATCAGTCCTGGAGCAGCCAGGACTCAAAGCGGCACCCACTTGGGATGCCAGCATGGCAGGAGACTGCTTTATCCACTACGCCACAGCGCCAGCCCCAAATAAGTAAACAATTAAAAAATTAAAAGACATACATTTTAAGAGAAAAAGCTTTACAAGACAAAAAAAAAAAGTATTCCATACTTTTGTTGGAGAATGTTCCTAGGATTTAAGTATATAGTCATTGTGATTAAATAAAAGGCCCTCAGGAAACTCTGGGATAGGAAATCAACGACTATCATGTGTTAACCTTACTTTTAGCTTTAGGAAGGACCAGGCTGCATAATTACTGAAAGAACAAGAAGGAAATGGGCTCTCAGGAGCACACATCAGGTCTCCAAACACATACTTAAGCCTTGATGTTAGAGAATTCACGTTCATGTAGGACTTTCAAAGACACGCTTCAAAGCATGCCAGCAAGTCCCCCCAAATCCATTCAGTGAAAAGCACTGCGACTACAGGACAAAGCAGAGAACTCCCATATTGGGCTGCTTTGGCTGGATCCGCTTACTCGACATCTCCAAGTGACACTTGAGAACCAACACATAACATCTTTCTGATTTCACAAAGCAAGGCTTATTTTGGAGGTCTTCCCAACTCTTAGTTCAGTTCTCTTTCCCCTGGCCCATGCCACATCATTCTAGTTTTTCTATTCAGTTTCTTTCCTAAAAAAACCATTTAAGAACTCCTACCACCAAATCTAGAGCTAGATGTTTCTAGCCAAAGGAGAAAATGTCAACAGCCACTGTGGTATCCACATACAACCTGCCCCAGCTCTCCTGGGGCAGCTACGTCCACTGGGCAGTTGGACGCCATTGTTTTGGACAGCTGACTGCGCCCACCTCACAGAATGAGTGGTGCACAGACCACTGTGCCACCAACATCTCTGTGTTGGATCAAAGCCCAGGCGCTTCATACCTCTC